CAGCAAATGAAGTAGTCTATAGACAACCCCCCAGTCAGTTTGTCAGTTGACGCACACTCATCGCACAGCACACTGCACATCACAGGCCAGCACAGAACAGTGATATATTCTCATATCCAAAGTATGCAACTTCCGATAGACGAATCGCTATACTGCTCCAAAATTACTCTACACTGGTCTTTTTTTCTCAAAGAAAAAAAAAGCCAACAATAATAAAAGGCCCTGGGTGAAAATCAAATTATACTACGATACCCTACGATGCGGGACCAGCCTTCATTCATTCATTCATTCCCCAAGTAGCGCAAAACCGCCCTCCACCATCAATCAATCTGCCAACCAAGCATCCAGGATTCAAATTAAAGTCCAAATTAGAGGCGATCCAACCCCCCCCCTCTTCAAGATCTACCATCCAATCGATCTTCATCACTCTTATGCAGCACTCACGCACCTAGTCAACCCCCCAAGCCTTCCCGCATAACGCCATTAAAATCCCGCTTTGAACCCAAGTTTTACCGGGTTATTTTCTTGCTTCGGTTTCCTTATTCACTGGGCTAAGCTTGGTGTCTCGGCCGTCGTATGGTTGCAGATTAACTTGTGCAAACACACTTCAGAGGGCCGGAACACAAAAGGTATCATATCGTGCTCGGGGGCAGGCAAAGGGGGGAATGCAAGGCAAGGCGGGGGCTTCTTTTCGGACAAGGAGAGGAGTAGGGTTCTGGCTAATAGAAGTATCATACTGGGAAAAAAAACTTAAAAAAGAAGCGCCAGGGCTGAGGGCTGGAAGGAAGCGCTGGTACGAGAATATCAGCGTTAATATCCTTTTCCCCGGTTAGTGGGAAGGTCGGAAAACGTGAGGGATAGTAGCGCACCTACTGAGTTGGCAAAGAGAGTCTTTCTCATTTCATGTATTTTCTGTTCCGGCTTTACTCTACTTTCCTTTTTTCAAAATAGCAACAATCTGGACAAGAGGTATCCCTCCTGCTCTGCCTATTCATTCTCGACTTCACACCCTTTCTTGGGAGAGAGGGGGGGTAATAGATTATGCAGACGATCGGAGCAACAGGGGGGGGGGGTATGAGCAACGAAGGAGATCTACCGTATCTTCTTCCACTCGCCCTTCCTAACATCCTGTACGAGCTCACATACACTTTGTGACTTCGCCATTCTGTCCGTCGAATCCAGAAGGAACGAGTGAGCAAGGTAGAAAAAGGTCCTGTGCTTATTGCTTTCTTCCTTCTCCGCTCCCTTTCCTCTCGAACCTCGGGCCATGTTGCTCATGATAATGGGTAAGTTTGCCCATCCCGCCACGAAACTCTGGGAGCACAAGGTTTGTTCGAAGGGCAGACCTGCATCTCGACCGGCCCACCTAACCCCGTCCGGAACTGTTAATGTAGTGTGGTGCCCCAGAGATAGCCCAAGCTGTCACCCTGAAGGGCATCATCAAGTTATCCCCACTTCCCCTCACCCCACCCCCGCTTCCCATTTCTCACCTTGTTTGATCCTCCTCTTGAGCAATACCATAAATTCTGGTAGCCGCGAATCAGGTGACATCGAGGAACTTTGATGGCTAAATACAGGGAGAAATGGCGTGTGTGAGACTGGGGGACCAAGGTGTGGACCTAGGGAAAAAGAGAAAGAGGAAGCGGGAAAGTAGCCCAACGGGTAAATCTAGAAGAAAAAAAACTTATGTACCATGTTCATGCCGTGGTCTCTCAAGTTAGCTTTTCTGGTCAGATAGTGGCAGTGCTTTAGGATAGAAAGACTTGTTTGCATTTCTCCAGCTTTTTTGTCAACTTTTCTTGCTGCCCATCTGCCGAGTATGTTTTGGTGAAGGAAGATGAAATCATACTGACATGACTGAAAACAGTCATTTGCAGAAGGCTGATCCCCGAGCCCCCCCTCCCAAGCTATCACTCTTGCTCACTCACGTATCCTAGAACCCCGTCAAAAGAGAAAACTAGGTCTGGAGTGTGGTTTATCAAAGTAGTAGGATCCTTGGCATACCTGTGAACGAAACAGGGAATCTGGAGCAAGTAGACCAAACTGTCGGAAAAGCCATAGAATGAGTCAACTAAACGGGTTACAAGAAAAAACTAAATACCATGAAAAAGATTTACTTGCCCCCATACTTTCCTTACGCCCCCCCTCCCCCCTCCCCCCAATTCTTAGACACCATAGCCCCCGAGGACTATGGGGTGCTACATGCAACCGCAGGCTAAAATAAGATCCGTACGATAGCTGAGAAAGCTCTCATGTAACCGCACCCAATGCCGTGTAAGAATAAAACACGAGTCAAAGGTGAGGTGAGGTGAGAGGGGGAGTAGGTCCAATCAAAAAGAAAAATCGAATCATGAACGATCACTCAGATTTTGAAACAGTATCTATCAGCTGACGATAAGGGAAGATAGGGGCTGATTGCTCGTGGAGAGGTAAAGCGAAGTAATGTGTGTATCGATTTTTGGAGGAGGAAGGTGAGAAGACGAAGAGAGAAAGGGGGGTAAGACGAGGATAAAAATAAATGGAGACGATTGTAGTAGACATGTCGATAGTAGATGGGGGTGGAGGTTTGCTTGATATTCGTCATGTATGATACGTATAGTATCATACAGAACAGCAACTCAATCATACAGTATCATACCAATTTATACTCTTCTCTGCAGTATAAATCCTCCCAGCATGAGGGTCTCTCATCAGATCCGAGCCAGCATATTCCGACCGGATCAGATCAGATCAGATCAGTACAACTTAATCACACATAAACCTTTCAGAAATCTGGAGGGCTCAAGACTTACAAACCAAGAGTCGGACTACCAACTCCATTACAGCACCTCACTACGGGTATCACTCATACGATACGGCACACACCGCATCTCAAACAAGCTAGCGCCTCCCCTCCCCATTCGGACATTTTATATTATCACTTCTCTTCCCAAACCCGCAAATCAATCAACATGTCAAAAAAAAAAAAAAAAAAGAAAGAAAGAACTATGACGCACATACGCTCTGCATCCACCTATAGCAGACAGCGGGCCGTCACATTAAGTGGAAGAGAAAAAGGAAAAAAAGAATGGAGGAAAAAGCAAAGTAATGAAAAAGAAGTATCAATAATCAACATCGACCAATAGATTCATTCATTCCCCGGCAAAACCCAAAGTGTAAACTGAAGAGGGCAGATCATCGCATCTCCCTTTCTAAGATCCGTCTCGGAGGAAAAAAAGGCGAAACAAACACGCACTGCATATATACTCCGATGCCCCCCACGCCCGAGTGACCCCCCGTTCGCAACAGAGAAGAGCTATTCCTACACCAAACAGGACCTAGTGAATCTGAGCCCTCTCTATTGATATTTTGCAAGTGGCTAGCTTGGCTGGTCCTGTGGTGATGAGAGAAGCAAGGAAAAGCGCCAGTAGCAGGCAAGATGTCCCCGAGCACAGGGATTAAAAAAAAATGTATGGTTAACAGTCTGCGTGTGTCTGAGCTCCCCTTCTAAATCCACGGCCTAGTGTTCGGGTACTCCCCATCCGCTACCTGTACATTATTGTATCTTGACAGGATGCGCAATGCAGGTAGACGGCAATATTGTGTCCGGGGTACTGAACCGGTAACAAACCAGCCCCCAGTAACCAGGCGGCTAGCGTTCGTACTATCATCTATCGAATGACGCTTGATGCAATGAGATCAGCTAGTGGTAGACTACTTGTAGAGAGAGGAAGGGACGAAGTGAAGTAAACCAAGGAGGTCCAAAAGGGAGCGGAAAAAAACCTCCCTATACACCATCGAGGCTTGAGGCTTTTGCACCGGACGGACACCACAGATAAGGCGATACGTAGAGTACCAACCGACAACCGCGCCCGGCGACTAGCTCACGTAGTACAAATTCCTAGGGCAGGATGCTGCGCTAGTACTATCATGAGATAATTATAAGAAGCCCGAGAGGGGCTCCGTTGTTGTGTGTCGTAGCGCAGCATATATATGCAACCATATTATTGCATATCATACCGCACATCAGAAAAATGCGGAGAGTACCGGTAACCTGTAATCGTTTAGCGTATGATAGCTTTGCAGAAAGGAAAAAACCTCAATCCATGGTTAACCTAAAAGCCACAAGCCAAAAAGTAAAACTAAAAAAAGCTCATGCTTCTGGAACGACGCTAGAAGCTTTTGTTTTACTTTTTTTTTGACTCTTTGGTGTGGGCGCTGCGAGGGCCGGTTTTTCTTTTCTTTTTCTTCCCACTTATTCGTTGTGGGTGACATGGGATGACATGTCGCGACCAGACAAGGAAAGGCAGGGCGTGCATCCATATCCACAGTACGTTTCGCTTTCTTCTAGAAGGAAGGAAGGAAGGAAGCTCGGGGAACAGTTAGCCTGGGAAGAGGAGGGGGGGTACTGTACAGT